AGAATATCAGGGTTGGAAGGGACCTCAGGAGTTCATCTAGTCCAACCCCCTGCTCAAAGCAGGACCAATTCCCAACTAAATCATCCCAGCCAGGGCTTTGTCAAGCCGGGCCTTAAAAACCTCCAAGGAAGGAGACTCCACCACCTCCCTAGGTAACGCATTCAGCCTCTCCTCATAAGTCATGTGCTCCAGCCCCCTAATAAAAAATAAATTAATGGAGATATCCTATCTCCTAGAACTGGAAGGGACCTTGAAAGGTCATCAAGTCCAGCCCCCTGCCTTCACTAGCAGGACCAAATACTGATTTTTCCCCAGATCCCTAAATGGCCCCCTCAAGGATTGAGCTCACAACCCTGGGTTTAGCAGGCCAATGCTCAAACCACTGAGCTATCCCTCTACTGATTATAGTGTAGACACTCAGGCTGCAGTGAGCTCTGGGACCCTCCCACCTCGCAGTGCCCTAGAACCTGGGCTCCAGCCTGAGTCGCCCTGAGTGTCTACACCGCAATTAAACAGCCCGGAATAGAAGCCCCATGAGCCTGAGTCATCTGGCACAGCCCAGCTGCAGATTTTTAATTGCAGAGTGGACATACCCTAAGAAAGTTGAGGTCTAGGCCAGGAGTTCTCACAACAAATTTTTTGGTGGCCTCAGAGTGCAGCCTCCAACTCTCACTGGTGGCCGCACTGACAATTTTTTCCTAAAACACTTAATTAGTTTTAGAAAAAAAAAACAATTAAATATGCACAGATTCACATCCAAATCATTGTAATGTATATTTGTAGGGTTCTTTGGCAGACTCAATAACGAAAATAATGCTGCCTCCCCCTTCGGCCCCCCCGGCCAGGGCTTAGTGGGTCCTGGGGCTTGCTGTGAAAAATGATATTTGTATATTTGTTAATATCACAGCATATTTACTAGCTACCTGGGAGGCTATGGAAAGTGATAAGTGATATTAACGAACATAGAAGGATCACTTTTCACAGATACTTGCATGTTTGTTAATATCACTTTTCTCAGCAAGCCCCAGGACCCATTAAGACCTGGATGGTGGGGGCCGAAGCGGTTAGGCTGCAGGGGCCAGAGGCAATGGGTGCGGAACAGGGGGGCCCCAGGGCAATGGGGGGGAATGGATGCAGGGCTGGGGCGGCAGCAGGAGCCCAGGGTAATGGAGGGGGAAGGGGTGAATGCGAGGCCAGGAAAGCAGCAGGGTCCTGGGAGGGGGAGATGGATACAAGGGCATGGGAGGCAGCGGGGGCCAGGGGCAATGAGGGTGGATGATGAGCCCCACTGTTGCGTGGCCATAGCCAGGGCCTGGTGTCTGCGGCCATGCAGCCAGGGCCAAGGCTCAGTGCCCACAGCCAGAACCCGGAGCTAGGGACAGGAATTGCATGGCTGAACCCAGGGATCAGAGCCTGCTGTCAGGCAGCTGAAGCTATGGGTCAGCACCCAGGGCTAGTGCCTGCCGCCACACGGCCAGAGCCCGGAGCCGGGTGCCGGAGTCCAGGAGCGCGTGGCTGGAGCCAGGAGTCAGTGCCTGCTGCTATGTGGCTGGAAACAGCACCTGCTGCTGCGCGGCCAGGGCCAGGGGTCGGCACCATGTGGCAGGAGCCTGGGGACAGAGCTGTGGGTTGACGCCTACTGCTGTGCAGCTGGGGCAGGGGATCAGCACTAGGCCCACATGGCTGGAAACTGGGGCCAGCACCTGCCACGGCATGGCCAGAACTGGGGGCCAGAAGCCGACTGAAGCTCTGCGGCTGGGGGTCAGTACCTGCTGCCCTGCAACCAGAGCCAGGGGTTAGTGCCCAAAGTCCCGTGCTTGGTTGGAGCCTGCTGCCGTGCGGCTGGGCTGGGCGTCGATGCCTGTGGCCAGCGCCTGCCACTGCGCGGCCGGAGCTTGGGACTGGAGCCGGGAGCCAGCACCTGATGCCACGCAGCTGGAACCAGGGGCTGGAGGCTGAAGCCCCGCAGCTGGAGGCCGGGGCCATGTGGCCAGAGCCAGGGGAGGGGGGTGTCAGTACCCGCTGCCCCACGGTCCGAGCCTGGGGCCGGAGCCAGGTTCCTGAATTCCCACTACTGGAGCCTGCCGCCCAACCCCCGCTTCCTCCAAGGTGTGTCAAGAACTCACCTTGCTCCTCCAGTGTTGTGCCCCAACTCTCTCCAGAGGCAGTGCAGGGCTACGCATCCAGGAGCAACAAAGAGGGAGGGGGAGGGGCCGATGCTTTGCTTCCCTGCCCCCATCACCGCCCGGGAGGTTGTGGTGGGTGCATTTGAGAAATGTTGGTCTAGGCAATGGTTACAGACCTGCAAGTTCAGGTAGGGCTTCTTGCTGATAAAGGGTATTATAGATCTGCAGGTTTACTTTAGATTTGGCCTAATGATTCAAAACATTTATAGGCCTACTGTTTCATGCAATTTGCTATTTAGAGGGGATTAAAAACCTGTTGGTCCAAGTGAAGCTTGTTTCTGGCAAGAAAATTAGTAAAATACCTTCCTTTAATGTGCCTTAAGAAGATGAAACTAGAGTTGATGCATGCATGCTTTTCAAACGTGGATTCTAGCTCTGACAGTGCTCCTTGGCATATGTGGCCTTGCTTTAGGGGAACCTTGTTTAAGGAATGTGTATCTGCAATTTGCCTGAAATGAAACAGAAATAAACTCTATGTAAATAAGTAGTAGTGTGATCCAGTGGATACAATACTAAACTGGTGGTCAGAAGACATGAGTCCTGTTCTTGAATTCTACTTTGGGTTCACCATCTGCAAAATGGTAATAATGATACTTAAACCTCCTTTGTTAACATGCATAGAGATCCTTTGAATGCAAAATATTAGTGAAATTCAAGGAGAGTTTTGTAGAGACTATCTAGCCAGATGTAAACCCTTTGATGGATGGAAGTGAGAGTATGTATCCCATTGGCAGCAGTAGGATGCACCAGCACTTAGAAAATAACAAAAAGGCAAATGTCATTATATTTAAAAAAACAAAACACTTTTGAATTTTTTGTTTATACAGGCAGTGGAAGTGGTTCTCCAGAAGCTTGTTTAAAAACAACATGTTTGTGGTGGTCAGATGCCTTCCCTTTATATCAAAATCTTCGCTTTATTTGTAATAAAATTGAAAATTAGTTGAGACTTTAAAGTAAACTGTTGTTCATATTTACAAAGATTATATAGACTTGGAGAAATTTTGTTGTAAATAAACAAAACTAATTTTACTGTGAGTTTGTCATTGCCCAATAAGCACCAGATAAACAGCCACTTTCAATCACTCCTTTCTTCGGTGATCTCACTGTCACATGACATACTATATTGATAGTGTCACCTCTCTCCCTGACTTTCTAGTCCTCTGCACCATTATGCATACACAGAGCTTTTATAGTTTATATCACTTGCATTTTAGAGGCAGTAGAAATATCCCAGTAACAAAGAGTATTTTATTCTTTAAAGTTTGCTGGTTGACATCTGTAGCAAATTTTACTGCTGAGGTGCTTTGTTACTTACAAACTAAATCTTGCACACATCCAGTTCTAGGATCCTGCTAACCCTTACTCACACAAGGAGTCCTTACTCATGCACATACATCCACTTAGGTCAATGGAACTGCTTGAGTGAGTAAGGACTAATCACATGAGTACAGGTGTACAGACTCAGGCTCTTAATTTTCCATAATGACACTTGTTTTCTTGTGACTGATCTGTCCTCATGAAGCACGTGAAAAGTTTAGTTGCAGCACAACACTGAATACAGGGAAATCTTGTCTCTGCAGCACCATCACCAGCCTGGTACGAGAAGCCCCCAGATTCAGGAAATGTCTGTGTTACTTTTTAAACAACTCTTGTCATATTGTGATCAGTGTTGAGAGGCTACAAAGGGAACCCCAGCCACCTGCTGTCTGTTAGAGAAATGGTAGTATTTGTCATAAAGGAATCTTGAGAAAGGGGAGTAGTCCTGGGAGAGACAGGGCAGGGAAGAATATAATACGGAAAATTCCCCTTGTGCTTTTATAGTCTCCAATCTAGTTTCTCTTATAATTACTCAGAAGCATTTCTCTTCACTGACAGGAATGTGGAGGGTATGTCTATACTGCAATAAAACACCTGCAGCTGGCCAGTGTCAGCTCACCTGGGTCAGCCACAGGTGTTTTAATGCAATGTAGACATACCCTTAGTCAATATTTTCAAACAAGGCGCATATAACAAGCCTCAGAAAAAGCCAAGCTATAGATATTTAACATCCCTTGTGAAAAGGTGGGAAATGAGCTATTTTCCTGTTGCCAGTGCAATAATACTTGCAGTACAGAACCAATGCAGAATCTGTATGTCTTTACAAGAACACCCAGGGCACAGTGAGGGCTCACAAGAGGACACTGTCCATGCACAGAAATAAGTCTTCAAGTTATGCTTAGGCATAATCATACAGCAGGCACACCAAGGTCTACAGGTTCACCCCCCTTCTGAGATCTGGGGTATGTCTACACTGCAATTAAAAACCTGCAGCTGGCCTGCACCAGCTGACTCAGATTCATGGGGCTCGGGCTGCAGAGCTGTTTAATTGCAGTGTAGACATCTGGGCTTGGGATGGTCTCCGTGCTCGGGCTGAAGCCTGAGCCTGAACATCTACACTGCAGTTAAACAGTCGTGTAGTCAGAGCTCTGTGAGTCCGAGTCAGCTGGCACAGGCTAGCTGTGGGTGTCTAACTGCAGTGTAGTCATATCCCTGGGCACCAAGAGTGACTTATGTTTGACTGTCATATTTAATCCTTTCATATTACAGCAATTGACTCAACTATCTTACAAGTGTGGAACACGTTCCTATGGAGCATCCTTGGATTCTATATAAATCTGTAGGGTATATGTGCCTCTAAAACACTGATATGATGTAAAACTCTGCAGTGAGCTAGTTAATTTCTAATGTTCTATGTGGTTTAGTTTCTACTGAGTCTTTTATTTAGGGCACTAATGTGATGGGTATAGTTAGCTGTTCTTACTCTTTCCTGTGTAGGCACCAGTGTAATGGGGCAGTAATTTCCCGTTGTGGACAGCCCGAGGTCAGCTGGTGGGGCTGGAGAAATGCAGACGACGAACACCTTGTCCAGTCAGTGGCCAAAGCATGTGCCTCAGACGCTAGGTCCAAAAGCAGCAAATTAATGAATGGAAACTGTTCCAGAGACTTCTCCAATGGAGGGGACCTCTCTGATGTGGAATTTGGTGAGTTCATCAGCCCATCCATTTCTGAAATGGCTAGAGCTTTGTATGTGAGTGTGATCTCCTGTGTATAGTATAAGATATGTGGGAGTGACTGTGTGTTTATAGAGTGTATAGGATTCCTCTGTGCACAGTGCATGCACAGTGTGGTTCCTGTATGATGATGTTGCAGATAGTGTTAAAAGTATTTGTTTAATTACTCTTTGGTTATCCTTTTTCTTTCCACAGATTCCTCAATTTCTAATGCTTCAGGAGCAGAAAGTTTGGCCATCCAGCCTCAGAAGCTTTTGATCTTGGATGCACGTTCTTATGCAGCTGCTGTGGCTAACAGAGCCAAAGGTGGCGGCTGTGAGTGCCCAGGTAAGTAGTGTTTATATCACTGTCATATCAGTTTATAGATCAGCTTGACAAAGCTCTGGCTGGGATGATTTAGTTGGGGATTGATCATGCTTTGAGCAGGGGGTTGGACTAGATGACCTCCTGAGGTCCCTTCCAACCCTGATATTCTATGATTCTATGATTATATGAAGGTAGTCAAAAGGACAGATACACATTTAAAGGGACATGGGGCTCGTCTACAGCAAGGGGTTTTGCACCATGAAGTGTAGTTACAACAGTGTTGCAAGCCTTTAGAGTCACATGGCTGCAAGCCAAAACTTTGTACACTGGTGTAATGCATTGCATGAAAGTTTGTATCAATATAGCTATCAGTGATCATGAAAACTCAATGTAGTCAGCCTGTACTTACTTGAAAGGGACAGAGTTAGTTGCCAGTTGATGCTGTGCTTCAAAGTGTAAGACTAAATCAGTAACAATATACAATTAACACTGAACTATGTACAGTATGTTGAATAGTCTTTCTTCACTGAATCATATATTTAAACTTACATGCAATATAAAAACACACTAAAGATTAATGTATAGACTAACTATAAAAATACAAGAGAAAACCCAAAACAAAACTCAATAAACCATAGTGGGTAATAGTGTTGCAGGATTGTTATACATGGGGAAACTTCTTTGCAGAGACACAGCACTCTTAGTATTTCTGGAACAGCTCCCATATATAAATGTAATTAAAATACTTATTTATCCTGCATTTGTGAAGTTTACCAAGGATTATTACGTTCCATGTTCTTTGTCACCATTTGTGAATTGTGGGTAGTATGAGCAGGAAGCTTTTTGATGACCATTAGCAGATGGGAATACATCCTGGTTAAATTCCATCATTGGAGAATATGGGAGAATACCAGACAGGAAAATTACAGGTAGGAAAGGCAAAGCTATTTCAGTAATATCTAAGGTGGCCCTCTGAGATCTTTGACCAGAATAGCTGCACTTTGGGGCATAGCTGCTGGTGGTGAGAGAGGAAGTTTAAATGTCCATATAGCTTCCAAAAAGTATAAAGGAACTCATGATTAATGGAATGAAATGTCTAAATGGAAAGCACAATGCAGTACAGCAACTTACCTTGAGTTTCAAGATGAGGATGCTTGAACAGTTTGTAGGGAATTTCCAGACAGCTATGTTAGCTTCATTAAATTTGATACCCACATCTTGGTCACATTTTTAATAAAATACAGTCAATCCAACAGTACACTCTGGAGATGAAGTCAGAATACAACCATTAAGTGTAACAGCCTTTGTAAGGAGCAGTTTGTTGGCCTTTCACAGACCATATGCTTCATCTTCAAATATTGATGACTTTAAAAAAATAATTTGGATATTGTCTTCATGGCTCAGAAAGGGCCACATTATCCCTGGCTTTAGCATGGTGATTAGAGGTGGTAGAGGAAAGATGCCTTCTTCCTCGCTCTACGCAAGGGCTAGGGATTGTGCGCTCCATGCACTCATAGGATGCAATCCTTCCTAAATTGGTCCCTGAAGAAGAGGGGCCCTCCGCACTGCCTTTGGAGCTAGCAAGGCATGGCAGGGTGCAGGGAGGGCACATTACAGGAAATGGTTCATCCTGTGCACTCTCCTCCACATCAGGGCATTTGGTGGGGAGCGGAAGATGGTGCCTCCTGGAGCTCCTCATGGGGCAGTACTGCTCCACACCATTCCCAATGTAGATCACTGGCTAAATGGCACCATCTGGTTCTAAAGTTTAGCCTGAAAGATCTGGGATATGCGTACAATACTATTTACGTTCGGATCAGCAATTAACCCTGTTGAATTTTGTGGATCTCTCTCCTCAGTTTGTAGCAGAATAAAAGAGTATAAAGTCAAAGAGTTGCACGCAATATTTACTGGCTTGCAAATTGCACCAAATCATCCAGGCTGTGTGAGCTAAAGGATAGATCTCCAGGAGCTCTGGGATCCAATTTATGTGGTCTACAGATGCAAGCACAAAGTTGGAGGCATCTGTTAAAGTCCTCTGTGTGTGTGTCAGATGTGCCTGTGGTCCAGGAAGAAGACCATACTAGTAGGCCAAACCTGATAGAACTGCAGCCTGATATTATTTAAAGTCCATTCCCTCAGGACATAGAGTGTATTTCATATAAGGCAGTTTATTTAATCTGCCAATCAACTGGTCAGATGCATAGTACAGAAGTAAGATAAACTTAGGGATGGTCATCTAAAGGGCATGATCCTGAAACATGCTGAGCCTGAGCACTTCCTATGAGTATCTGCACTGATTCTGCCAACCCATCTAGGGTGAATAGTTTGAGTATAGACTACAGGTTTGTCCAGAGGAAAGCTTCTTAGGACTTGCAGAAATAGTCCCTTCCATTCTCTGTCTACTGCAGCCTTGAGTATTTCTCATCTGAGTAAAAAGAAGAACAGGAGTACTTGTGGCACCTTAGAGACTAACAAATTTGTTAGTCTCTAAGGTGCCACAAGT